TCATGAGGTCACCACATCTCTAACTCAAGAAGGCGAAGGAAAGGAGAAAGACAGGTATTATGCTCTCCATACTCGAAATAACAACAGAAAAAGTAGGAAGAAAAACTTTTTCTTTTGCTTTATCAGATCAACTTTTGACAATCAAGGAAGATTACAACACTAACATCACACTCACTCACCTCTCTAACCACCCACTACAGCTTCACTTTCCTCAATCCCGAAAGGTCAGAGATACATTAGCCCAAAGAAAGAACAAAAAAAGGTTTTGCAGTCACGCTGAATTCAGCTGGACCTCCCAGCTAAAATCCAAGTGATTGATTAGTCATTCCCTACAAATTTGAAGGCCAGGCTTGGGATTGGCCACGAGGGAAGCAAGCAAATCGAGAGCTTAAAAGGTCCCTAACCCTATTGCTCAGAATCTTCAAATTCTCACACTGTGTCACACTACTATGACCTTCAAACGCCTACCTAAAAGTGATTCATAAAGAAGACCAAAAACCAATAAGACATAGTCATCTTTTACTTTACATGGAGACACACACTCACAAGCTTCAAACCGAAATACCGCGAAGCGCGAAGAAGAAGAAGAGCTCTATATCTGGAGGAGCGAAGAATGCAATCGGCCTCCTCTGCAGGCAGCAGCTCGACATTACTCTCTGCTTCTTAGGTGCCGGTGGGCACGTCTGGATCTTCGGTATCCGGAATCTCTGCGCTTTCGGAGTGGAGCAGTTGCTTCCACAGATTTTTTCACCTCCCAATTCTGAGTCGGTTGGTGTATTGCTGATCTCGGGGGAACTGTCAGAGCAGATTGTAGAGGATGAAGTGGAGCTTTCTTGATTCTTCACTTGCGGAGACCTTTTCTCGTAATGGGTCCTTCTCGGTTTTGTGGTTGATCTTCTTGTTCTCGCTCTTCTGCTACCCTTTGATGCCATTTGGCAAAGAACAGAACCTTACTCCCGTAAGTATTGGATACTTGAAGATGAGTGAACCTGGGAAATTAACAAGGAAAGTGAGAAACTTTGCTAAGTTCAGAGAAAGAAAACTCTCTCAGAATGCTAAATTCGAACCTGCAACTACATGTGTGCTTTAAAGCTACTAAATTTGACCCAAAAGTGATCAAAAAAAGCTCAAGGTGGGTGGTGACAGCATCTTTGGAAACAAACCTTTATGAGGCTCAAAAAGAAATCCTGATAAAAGAAGAGAAATATCCCACCAAGAACCCGGAATTTGCAGTGCACTTGAGTCTTCTTCCACAAGATATTGCGCTTGCTCGAATGAAGAAACTTTCTGAGAGGGAGAGACTGGCTGACTGACTTCTTAGCTTTCACGGAGCCCCATATGCGATCATCAACCAACTTTTGCAGAAACTTCCACTCACAGCAAACAAAGCAACTGTCGTGACAGCAAGTTGTGTCACCCTCGGAAGCACTTAAAAGCACTCCACTAAACCCACCAGAAGGTTCATGATCAATACAAGGTCCTGAGGCAAATAAGGATCATCTGTACGTGCCTAAGTATTTAACGAGAGAGAGAGAGAGAGAGAGAGAGAGAGAGAGAGAGAGAGAGACCCACTTCGCAGTGAGGACGGCCTTGAGAAGCCCTGATCAAGAAGCATAAACCCCTGGGGACAAGAACGCGGGAGAGAATGATGTCACCAAAGAGAGAGTGATTTCGCCATTCGATTTGCAGCTTAAGACATTCTAGGAGTTCGAGTTGAAGACCAAGGCGATAATCAGGGCAGGCCTGCCCGCTGCCCGTGTAGACTTTTTCTTTTTGTAAGGATGATTTGCATCTGAAATTTATTCAGAAAATACAATCGAGTTTTAAAACTCTAAAAAAAATATAATTAAATTTTAAGATTCGTTAAATTGATACAATCAAATTTCTCTGCTAATTCCGTTTAATTTGGTTAACGGAGATGGCGTGGCTTTTGTCATTTATTCCTCTTTTCTATGTGGATAGTAATATATAGCTAAAGTGTGTAAGCATGGCCAAAACGACCTCATTTTCTTAATTAAATTATATTGAATTTTTTTTATAAAAAAGGTCTTAAAAGAAAAGGAAAACAGAACATAATGACTAATGATGCGTTTGTTTAACAGAGAATAAATGATTTGAAAAATATTTTCCTTATAATGATCGTTTATATCTCTTACAAATATGAATGAACAAAAAATATTTTCATTGTCCACGAAAATATTTAGATAGAAATCGTTATCAATAATGAATATTTTTTAATTGACTAAACATTTCAAACGACATAAGTGATTTTTTTTCGAAAGAATTCATTTTGCCGTTTTGATCTCAACCAGTTTCCGATGGTATAAAATGCCAATATATGATTGTCAAAGCTTATTAAATATTTTTCTCACTGGTTTTGAGCTTAGTTTTTGAATCAGTCCTTGCTAATAATATATCTCTAGACAACGTATTCGCATTCTCACAAGCCATAACAAGATTCAGAGCCTATATGGTATGACTTTCACGCAATAGTTACAATTGTGAAAGTGGATGCTTCGGCTTTTATTGAGGTAAACTCCTCGGACGAGAACACGGTGCGCTATGGAATGACGCAGGCTGGGGTTTTATAGTTGTCTTTGATCTAGATAAGGATGTCAATTCCTAAACTCAAAGCAAGTAGAATTCGGGGATAATGATACAATTGGTTTCTGAAATTTGACTTAACGTGCAATGTGGTTCATAAACTTTTAATTTGTTCAATGTGGTCCTTGAACTTTAGTCCAATGTGTAATGTAGTTTCTAAACTTGTAATTTGTTAAATATGGTCCCTAGACTTTTGGTATATGTTCAACTTAGTCCCTTAACTATATGAAAATGTTTAATGTTGTCTTTTCAGTAATTCAAGTTCAGGGATAACATTGAACATTTTCATACAATTCAAGGACTAAATTGAACATGTACCAAAAGTCCATAAATTACATTGAACAAATTGAAAGTTCATAGACTACATTGCACATTGAGTTACAGTTTAGAGGTCACATTAAATAAATTAAAAGTTCATGAACCATATTACACATTGGGTCAAAATTCATAAATCATTTGTGTCATTTTCCCTGGAATCCGAGATGACCATCAATCTCACTATTGCAGATAAGGTAGTAGTTTTTTTTTGCCCCCTTCTTCAAGTTCAAGTGGTCGGTTCAGCCTCATCCTCGGACGAACCCTAATCAAAATTCTAATTAGATGACAGTACGCTCACAGGATTGTTATGTTAAAAGGGCAAAGTGCCAAATGATCCATCCGCGTCCTGAAGAAAACTCGAAAAGCACCTTCAACCTCAAACTTTCGCCTAAAATTTCCACATTAGCCATGTCCGAGCACGGAATCGAAACTTCTTTTCTATTAAACAGGGAAATATCTAGGAGCCGTCGCTATAATCGCTGTCGTCGTCCGCGTGATCACCATCAAGAAGGATCGATCCTCTTCGCGCGTGAAGATCATACGGACCACCATCCAACTCCACCGACATGAAAATCGTCCGGACAAGTTAGACATTCACGGACAGATTCTCTAGGGTTAGTACATGTCATGTCTCAGACAATTTTTTTTCTTTTTTTAACGAAAAATTCTACTTTTCACGCACCAGCGTAGAGAGAACTTAAGACTACTACTTGTCTATCATATTTGTTAACATATGATTAACGTATGTACAAATGTATGTATGCTCGTAATTTACTTGGTCAAATGACACGTGGCGATCGAGACTTCCCGACAAATCAAGCCGGTCCCCGTCCGTCGGATGCCGGCAGCATAATTCCTAATCCCGTGGCTCCTGCGGATTGACCCCTCGTATCTACCAAACCCTAGTCGCAAGAGCAGATAGCAAAGCGACCATCTCTGGGATTTGATTCTAAGTTTATTTCTAAGATAATTTTTGATCTCATCGGATGCCAATTGGAGCGTGTTGTTACTTATAGGCTTAGAGTGGGGCTCGTTACGAAATGCCCGATCTACTCCTAGCATTTTTCTAGTGGGCTCGATATCGACACGTGTCGTTATTACACAAGACAACCTACTACTACATGTGGTAACCTATCGGCATGTCTATTGATTTCACCCAAATTGTTGGAACGCAAAATCTTGTTCAGATATAATCGAAGTGACTTCATACTAAATACTACCATCGTTCATTCATTTGGAAGAATTTGCTTTTTCTTAACCTGTCGCAATCTCCTTTTGCTTCCTTGTGACCCTGAAATCACCTACGGCCATTTTCCACTCACCCGACATATATGCTCACCACGATACATCTGCATCGAACCTTGGTATGTCCTTAAGAGGCCTCATCTGGATCACGAGATGTAAAAATAAGTTTGGGTATTGCTGGACTCGGGGCAAGAAAAAGATTCTAACCTAACAGGGGAGATTGGGGCATGCCGGCACCATTACATTAAAATAAAGAAGGCATGGGTGAAACCCGACCAGTTACGGAACAGGCCGCTCAAGACCCCAGTAGCAATGAACTCTAGGGCTATCATCTCATGTCTTCGCTAATTCGTTCTATTGAGACTCGATACCAAAAGCCTAAATTGTCTAAAGTGGTCCACTGAGGGAAATTTCATTTCCTCCCAGGAAACAGAATGAAGAAGTAGTGGGCCGTGAAGGTTTTACTTTGGAAAGAAATCTCACTTTACTCTCACGATTGGTGGGCCTCACAATACCATGATATGCACAGTTTCATTTGAACATTCAATCTCTTAAAAATTTTAAATAGATGCAATCATTAAGGTCTAAAGTATTTGGAACTTTATTCAAACATTTAAAAAGCTTTTTCTCATGTGGTTGGGCTTTTTTCGGCTTGGAGAAAAGCTTAATCAGGAGCCAGCATCCAACTCACTTGGCCTCCTGGGTTTCTCCAGTGCTTCAGCATATGCTAAACGCCACCGACAGGAACACAAAAATTGCATAATCCAAGGCCAAAACTGACGCTTGCTTTCTCCATGCAAAAGGAAAAACTTAATCCTAACCTAACAGGCCTCGAAAGGAAATTTCAAACATTACAGTGCAGCCAAATAATGTTATCAGTCACAAAGTAGCATACACGCGAACTAAGAAAAGAGTCACCGTCCCCTTGAAACAGCTTCATCCAACTCCTCGAGCGTTGAGACAAACAATTCGATATACCGACTCCCCAGTGTCATCCTGTCCTTGGCCATAGCGGCTCTAGAATCTTCTGCGCTCGCAAACTCGGCGAATGCTTCCCCAGAAGGCCTCCCCTCGGAGTTGAAGACTATATGGATAGAATCTTCAGACAACTCAAAGTCCTTGAAAAATTCCAATACGTCATCCTTGCCAGCTGAAAATGGCAATCCCCTCAATCGCAGTATTCCTGTGTGCTCCGCAGAGTCCTTCCTCTCATTAGAAGACTTTCCTCGGGATATGCTCCGGTGAGGAGATCCTCCACGAGCTTCAGAAACTTCATTCGCTATCGCCTTATAGTAGTCCTGCCTCTTACTTCTGAAGACTTCAACATATCTACGACCCATGCTTTGCCTGTTTCTTTGAAGGGCAAAATCGACTTGAAGAGGATAACCCAAAACGCAGAACGCTTCTCCCGTGAACTTCCCATCGTTGTGAACAAACAGAACATCGACGATGTCCAGGCCATGAAAGAACTCAGCCACGTCAGCTTCAGTGCAATTAAAAGGAAGGCCACGAAGCCGCACCAGCGGGAAAGGTGGAGACTGACCAGTGTTAGCATAAGGTGAAGCATTGTACATGTAGCTTGAACCAGGAGAAGTGCCATAGAACGAAGAGCCCTGATCAAATAGGCGTTGTCGCTTTGGAGCCATTTCACGCCCGTCATCATAATAATCAAACCTACCGAAATTTCTGGTAGAAGGGAAGCAGAGCAACAATATCATGTAAGTATGTCTGTAAACGATACTACAGTAAAAAAAGAAAAAGCCCAAACTATGGTTTTTAGCCATTCTTTATTTTGAGGAAGAAAATGATCCTTCAAACAACTAAAGTAAGCACTACTATACTTGTGTTTGTCCAGGCATCCAAAGCAAATCGTCCTTGGTAAAATTAGCAGCCAATATGTGCTCATGCATGAAATAGTGAAACTACTTCTCCTCTTTCAACGAACTTGCAAGACGACAACACCTATTGTCTCCCGTGAAAACTAATGTCACTAGCTGCTAACAGAGCTGAATTTTGTACTTAAAAAATGGGGAGACTACATCTTTTCCACGGGCTTCCTCCATTCAATTGTTCAATCATCACAAACAAGGAATAAACTTTAAATGCAACCTTAAAAACTTAATAGCATATTAATAAAACATTTCAAAGCCTTCAAGCTGTAAAATCCATTTCTCATGAACTATCAAAACACGCACTGGCTGAATATGGGAAAGGAAATCAGTATTGCCCCATGCACTGCTTAAGGGGTCGACCTAAACATCTATCCCTGAATACAAAAGCTGCTTCTTTACCTAGAACTCCTTCAAATTTGTGGGCAATGCACCAAACCAGAGGTGAGTGATTGGTATATATGAACACCTACAGTTTTAATCTACACAACTAATCAGGAATGAATTTGGGACAATGAACAAAAATAGCTCGGTGAGAAGAGAAATATACATAAAAATACATGCAAGGCAACAAAGTTCGTGCTGGAAGAACATCTAAAACGACGGCACTGACTTGACATATCCCTTGTCACGGTGAACAGACAAAGCCCATCCCCTAAACCATTACAATACATCAAGACAAACAGTTACTACTGACTATGCTACACATGACACTCATAAACCTTTACATATCTGTTGAATGCGATGACGCCCCTGAGCCGGAATTTATCAGAGTTAGACCATCAGGCCAAACAAAATGGCCTCTTTCTAGGATAACCCCAGCCATTGCATCTACATCATCAAATGCACAGTCCCCATAATTCAAGCACAGTAAAGGACATTCCCAGAACTCGTGTTCTGCAGCTAACTCTAACCAGCCGCACCTTTGCAATTCCAACTCAATCCGCCATCGACCCAGAAACCGAAATCCGCAACAAAATTAAAAAGGGGGGAAAAGGGATTCCCAAGATGGGGTTCAAGTTCCATACTTGGAGACACGAATTGGAATCAATCACGAATGCAAGAAGGAACCCAAGCTCCAGCAGGACTCCAAAAAAAAAAAAAAAACCCCTTACAGAATCCAATTGCAACGGAAGATGCTACGTGCGCTGGAGAACAACAACAGCCAAATCATTCGCAGGAAAAGAGGAAAGGCATCAAATTTACGAAACCGCACGGAGAAGCGAGCAAATTGGTCGTGATTTATCGAGGAGCGAAGCCCGACATCGGCGAGGAACCCGAGCACGACAGAGAGGGAAACAAGATGACGCGAAATCGACATTTACCCTCTGTAGTACATCGACATGTCTGGCACGCGCGAAGCTCAGCAGTTTACGAGCGGGTCGAACACAATCGCGCCGATCTTCTTCCGCGGGAGAAGCTCGAAGCTCTCTCCGCAACTTGACGGCGGCGGGCGGCGGCGGCGGCGGCGGCGAGGGGAGGAGACGGGAGAGAGAGACCCGGGGTTCCGGAATGCGAGACGACGGAGGGGAAGAAGAAGAAGAAGAAGAAGAAGAAGAAGCTTCTGGTTAAGGGGGCCGAGGAGGAGGGCGAGGTGGTGACGTGGCGTCCGCGCTTCTTCCCCCCACGACACGAGCTAGAAACGACGGCGTTCCCGGAGCGTGGGCTTGATCGACGTAACCGGGCTTTCGGCGTTGACTTTCGGTGTGGGCTTTTTGCCCCCAAATTCCCACGCGACGTTCCAAAAGGTGCAGGCGAACGGACTCCCGCCGGGCGAAGGGCGATTTCGTCCGGAAAACGTCGGACGGCCCCGCCTTCGCTACGCATCAAACTCAGTTTCCGGCGATTCCGTCGTCCACGGGACGATAGTCGCCATCCTCCCCCCGTTCGCCAACTTGTCGTCACTGACCGCCATCCTCTCTCTCTCTCTCGAGACGGTCGTTTCCCTCGACATCGCAATAGCCGATTCTTATCGCTGATTCCCAAAGTGCACCGCATCGATCTCGGTTGCCTTATCCTCCACGTTCTCTTTCCCCGGTCGCCAACCACCTCACTCGCCTCCGTCGACGAGAGACGTCGGCTTCGTCCCGGTCGTTCTTTTCTACATTCGCCTCCGCTTCTTAGCATCTCCATTGCTCTTTGCAGTGCAGCAAATGGCGAGTGGGACATTTTCATGTAAGACCTTTTTGTGCGGTGTACTGAGGACCAGGAGGGGCATCAACCTTCTAAAATTCCACAATTGCCCTCACGTGCACCGGAAAAGGTCAGATGAATTTTTGTTCCGAAACGTTTGTATTCGATGCAGGCAGGGGTGGGGCCAAATTGACGCGATTAAAAAGTTTAGGACCGAATTAATAGAATTGCGTTAAGACTTTTTTTTTTGATGAGTTTCCCGAGCCGGATGTCGTGACTCTCGGATTCGAAAAGCTTCGTTCTTGTCCTGCCCTTTATTCCTCCGCCAGACGTAACTCTGAATTAACGGCTCTCCAAGCTCGTCCTCGATGTCTAGGGTGCGTCTCTGTTCCCTTTCTTATCAAGGAGGAAGACGACCGGATCTGCCGTTTCAAGCGCGGTTTAATGTTCCTCGAGCTTTGCCAAATTCGCTCGATTGAGGTCTCCTCCCGACTCGTGGTGGTTTTGTTTTTTAAGTTCGATAATTTGCAAAACGAAAGGAGCAAAACCAACAAAGCTATAGCTATAACCATAGGAGTTGCACGCGTTAAGCAGCTCAGCTTCTTCTTCTTCCTCTTCCAATGTCTGCAAACAGCTTCTACTCTCCCCCCCCACGTCGGTGTTTCAATAATAAACCGCGAATATGCAAGAGAATCGCATGATGGCGACATTGCACGTCAGAAGGGCGCGCGCACGCGTGCCGTGTGATTGCCCACCGTGTCGTCCCCAGCCCGTGGAATCCTCCCGCGCTAACCAACACGGTTCCGAGCTCTCTTGCCGGGTGATGGAGAAGGGGGCATAAGAGAAGAGGAGCCACAGTTGCTTCGAGCATTGAGGAGAGTTCACATCTGCTCCCTAATCTGGTCCTACTCAGTAGCGCCTCACACGTAACATCTTTGATCGTCACAAGACAAGGAGATGTTGATTGTGGCGGAATTAAGCAAGAAGTTTCGGGGGCGTTGGTGGAGGCGGCGGCGGCGGCGGCCGCAATTATGATGGAGAGGTTTTTAGGGTGATTTAGAAGCAGAAGATAACTTAATTTCAAGTACACGTTAAGCACAACATAAATGCTTTACACGTACATGAAAATGTCGTGTCATATCATTTACAGCCGGTTGGTAATTTACAAATTATCATCGATGCTGTTGAGAAGCTGTAAAAAGATATGTGCCAATACACCATGAAACAAGATAAAACCTACTCCATCTTATACGTAAAATATAATAATTCATAAATTCATAAATTCAATATCAAATCTGTAGAACTCAATGGCGAGTCAGTAGATACGCTCACCACACAATTCTTTATAGATTCGTCTGATAGATACGATTATTTAAATTTTGAATCAAAATGAGCCGTTGTGAGAATCAAAAGATATCGATGACAATGTTCGCACGAGGCATAAAGAAGCCTGGAAATAATGACAATCATATTGGGTATGATGTCATTTGACGGGAAACATCTCTTACTGGCTAGTTGAATGATTAATATAAAACCAAAAGTAATCTTCTCTTTATGGGATCTAGCCAAATGGCAACTGGATTCTCCAGTTCCGAAAGATTTGGCATCGAATTAAAGAATAATTCTAGAGATATTCAGAACTACCATAACTAATTTACACATAAAATATCAGACTTGGTAAGAAGAGATGTTTATATGGCAATCCTTATAGCAGTGTAAAAAAGGAAAAAATATAAAAGGTAATACGGTAATTCTTATAAAAAAAAAAAAGGAACAAAAATTAAAGGTTACATTATGGTTATAGCAAGTTGGCGGGACATGCTCTATTCTTCATCCTTAAATAGCTTAATGATGTTGAAATTGGAGCAAAGATACCCACAATGAGGGATTCATCAGGTAAGCTCATATTTATTTGTTCTTTATTACTAACTAGTTGTGTGGGAAATGTTTGGGGCAGGACACATGTTGTGATCTACAACAGTTTCCCGGCTGGAACAACTCTAACGGTTCATTGCAAATCCAAGGACAACGATCTCGGGGTCCATTATATAACGAGCAGCTGGAATTTTCAATTCAGACCCAGTTTATTTGGGAATACGTTATTCTTTTGCAGCTTTGCATGACCGAATAATTTTCAGCGGTTTGATATATATGTGCAAAGTAGGGACGCTGATCATTGCACCACGTGTGCTTGGAAGATCTGGCCCACTGGTCCTTGTAGATTCAACGAAAAGACCTCAGAGTATGATGCTTGCTTACCGTGGAATCCTCCTACCCAATTAGGGAGGAAGCCTCTTACGTGAATGTGTGAGAGAGAAAGATGACGTCATGAACTGGTTCATCACGGTTTACAATGGAATAAGAATCATCTTAGCTATATACATATGTATACACACACGTGTGTGTTTCTTCTAGTATCCTCAAAATTTCAATTCCTATTGGCATCTCTTTCTTAATAGTTGTGCCGTCATTTTGTGTCATTCTACTTATAGTTATTGTTTTTATCGTTTATTAACACTTTCGAAAGATTTCAATGCAAGTATTGTCTTAATAGAAAAAAGGTAAATAAGTGTCAAGCCATGTCGGTTTCGAATCTATAATGCCGGTGTCCTATCACATATCAACACTCTTGAGTTCGTAAGTACGTAAAATTGGTTCATTTTGAAAAATATGGCAAAAATATGAGAAAACTGAATCGATGGGAGCCATTTTTAAGTTGACAGAATTTTTGGCCTTTGATCTTTGAGTGATACTAACCAGAGATTTGCAATGGCCAGTACAGGTGCGGGGCATGTGAGAGGAATAATAACATTCTTGACCTTGACTTCAAATAATGTTTCTTTAACCTTGCTTCTTCAGACAATGCACGGTGGACATCCTTCTCTATTTACGTTTGGAGTTCATCAATGAAAATGACTAACATCTATAGCGTTTTGCACGCACGATAGAGATCTTCGCATAGCCTTACGAAAAGAGAATCATCACTATTATGTCTTAGAACTTTAGATAATCAACATTTTTTTGTCAACATAAGGGGATATATGAAATTTTTCCCGAGCCCATGGATACCATATCAAATCAATTGATTCAGTATATTTTTATTTTATTTTATAAATATCATTATAACCTTATTGGGACACAACATGATTGACATGACGCGACACGACACGAATTGTCGGCCCTATTTTTCACGAACAATATCTTTTGCTTGGCACATACCAGGCTCGGCTCGCAGAGGTGGGTCCAAGCAAATAATTTCTTTCATAAGGCTAACACGTTCGCTTTAACTTGTCTAGGCCTGCTCAGGCCTGACCAATTTTATATAAAGGGAATTGCTACTTTCCGAGTTACCCGTGTTTCAACACTAACTTTTTTTAAGCTTTTTCGTCGTGCTACATGTATTTGTTGACCCGTGCGAGTTAGGCCGAGCTGGAGGAGGCAAAGTTGAAGAAGACTCTCTCCTCTTCTTTGTATCATAGCACCTTGTGAACCAATTCAACACGTTCCTGCAAATTCAAGGACTCCACGTGGCAAAGAATCCGGGAAAATTACCAAAAAAGTCCTAAATCTTTTTGCAATTGTACCAATTCAGTCCTAAACTTTTTGCAAACCACCAATTAGATTCCATTTTGGCTGCCGGCTGCCTGACGTGGCCGGCCAGCTAATGTGGTGTATGCGGCGTCACGTGGCAATATTTTAATATTTTTTTCCTTTTTTCTTTTCCTTCTCCCCCTTGGCCTGTCCGGCCAGGGGGGAGGCTCGCCGGCAAGGGCCCAGCTCCGGCGAGGCGAGCTGGGCCCTCGCCGCCGCTGGGCGAGCTCCGCCCTCGCCCAGCCATGGCGAGCTCCGCCTCGCTAGATCTGGGCAAGCTCGCCATGGCTGGGCGAGCTCTGCCCTCGCCTAGCCATGGCGAGCTCTGCCTCGCCATGGCTGGGCGAGATCCGCCCTCGCCTAGTCATGGCGAGCTCCGCCTCGCCAAATTTGGGCGATGGCGAGCTCGCCCAGATCTGGCGAGGCGGAGCTCGCCCAGCGGCGGCGAGGGTCCAGCTCGCCTCGCCGGAGCTGGGCCCTCGCCGGCGAGCCTCCCCCCTGGCCGAACAGGCCAGGGGGGAGAAGGAAAAGAAAAAAAAAAGAAAAAAAGGAAAAAAAAATTCGAAAAATAAAAAAAATATTAAAATATTGCCACGTGGACGCCGCCCGGCGCCACGTCAGCCGGCCGACGGCCACGTCAGCGTCGGCCGGTCAAAAAGACTGAATTGGCTGGTTTGCAAAAGGTTTAAGACTGAATTGGCACAATTGTAAAAGGTTTAGGACTTTTTTGGTAATTTTCCCCGATGAATCCCACCAAATCTCCCAAATTGGAGGAACCGACCGACCACTTCCACTTGTTGTCCTATTGGACTGCTTAGACAAGATTCAATGAAGCAGGAGGAGGAGGAAAAATGAAGCTTTGGTTGGTGGAAGATTGTGGACCTCAAATTTCGTCTGGTTAACGTTCACACACCTTGAAAAAACACACGCAGATCCCCCCAAAATCCTCCCTTGCAGAGCAAAGGAAACACCTCTTCCCTTTCAAGATTCTCCCTCTCTCTGTGTGGCCAATCACCCAACTCGTGAATCTTTGACTGCTCTTCTTCTTTGATCTCGTGTATTCTGAAGTACCCATTTGCCATTTCCCTCGGAATTCCTCTCGTGGTGGCGCCCCTCGTTTCGTAGATACACTTCTGACAGGAACCCTTTTCTTGATCTTGCCAATACTCAAGGAGAACGATTTGTTTTTGTGTGAAATTCTTGTCAGCTCTGTGAGAGGGGGAGGATATGGTGGGGGCTCTATCCGTTGTGGGCTCATCGGTCGTGGAATCACACGCGTCTCCGCGTCTGTGCCTCGATTCGCTTCCTTCGAGCATGAGCCTCAGGAGTCGTGGGGATCTAGTTAGTCTGCACAGAAGCACGTTGGGAAGGAAGCAACTCTGGAGGCCCGGATCGTTGGAGCTGGGGAGCTCGTTCCTCTATGCGTGGAACGATTGGCGGGTCGAGGCCAAGGCGATCTCCGGGAACGCGCGCCGCTGCTTCTCGAGCAAGCCGCGGAAGCACCGGAGCTTCAAGGTCGTGAGCGAGGTGGCCGGGCAGTATGAAGACAGTTTCGAGGATGTCAAGACGGTGAGCATCCTCCGTCCGGCATGCATCATAGACTAACGGTTTCATGCTCATTTCTGATAATTCAGATGTCCTGATTTGTGTGAAATACTCTTGTACTCTGCAGTTATTTTTACTATTTCTATTGAATTATGTCCTCCTGTCATTACAAAGGCACAAGAACTGGTGACATAGCCAGGAAAAAAAGAGGCAATCGGTAATTTTCTTTGATTCATTTTTATGAAGCACCTGGTTTTATGGAAAACATTTCATGCCTGCAGCAAATACTCAACTATTTTACGTATAAAGCCGTGAGGACAGTTCTCAACCAGCTGTACGAGATGAACCCGACGCAGTACCGGTGGTTTTATGAGTAAGTTTCCATCTTCACCTATCATGCGAGGTAGCTCGATCGTAGCTCGTTTGTGTACATGTCGAGTCGCGACAGTCGGTTATCTGCTGAATTGCCTGTAACAAAACAGAAGGTCGATGGCTTATTTACTCGTGAAGATTTTGCTTTTTCTCCAATTCATTGTGTAAACTTGTCAGAAGATCCTTTGGCTCTCCACGAAGAATAGTCGATCCTATATTTCAGATTTTGAAGTTAACTGTAGATTTTATGGCAAAAGATTAAGAACTGCAGATTTTGATGAAGCTTGTATCAAAACGAGGGGAGATTTCTCCAACCTTGGATTGTCCACCCAAGCTCTAACTTCAAGCAGTAGCATGAAATAAGGCGGACTCTCCAGCTCATGCTTGTTGTCACTTTCATCTTTGTGTGCAAGTTCTCGTACTCCATCATCATGTCTAAGCGTTGTTGCTTCATCTCTAATGGCCAGATTCGTCGCGACAAACAAGCCTGGAGATGGAAAGCGTTTCATCAGAATACTGGGAAAGGTATTCTTCAGAACTCTGCAATACCATTTTTGTTATGGCATCATGCAAAAAGAATGACCGAACCTGCATTTAAAAGCCTTAGGGCGCAAAGTTTTGACCCGCTAGGGCCACATTAGCAGAAGAAAAGAGGTTACGTTTAGACTTTTTTCACCCCACTGGATATGAAAGAAGGAATAACTTTGCATGTTCTCTCTCCCTCTCTGATCTTAGGAGAAGCACGATCTTGCTGAGAGAGTAATGATAACACGTCTTCACCTTTATGGGAAATGGGTCAAGGTAACAAAAGTCGACAAGTCAATAGTTTCTTTGTGTATGTGTAATCCAGCTAAATTCGTGTCATTGTTGTATAGAAATGCAATCATGCTGAAATATACCAAGAGATATCTGACGAGAACTTGGAGTTGATGCGTGAACGGCTCATGGAGACTGTTGCTTGGCCCTCGGATGATACAAACACAGAGAAGATTGGCTAAGATGTTGCAACTTCACATTCCATTCATTTGGTTACACTTCTGTCAGTTGTTAACTTACTTCACCGTTACTAAGCTTCGATCTTAATTTTCCCTTGCCTACAATATGTAAATAGTTCCTAGATACTTTACACAAGCAATTATTAGATAGTGAAAATTTCCCCTTTCATCAACATTGTTACTTCTGAGAAGTTCAAACTTGTCATTTTCATTTTAAAAGTTGAAACCTTCACCTCTTTTGAAAAAAATTCCCAATTAATAAGCTTGAACACCATTCGGGGAAGAAAAGGCTTATCTTCACTTGACAATGGACAAAAGGTTTTACTGCTGGTTGCAAAAACCCCTACACCAAACTGGCAACAGATATGAATGTACCATACATGCAGAGTTCACTGTAGTACGCCTCAATAGAAACTGAATACGTCATGTTGCAATATAAAACACTCAAGAAATTGAAGATTAGACCAAGTCAGGTTGCAGGGCTTACCGACGGAGAGAGCTCCACACAGCGCCGAGCTAAGATAATTGGCGCCAGAAATGTGTTGAATTGCTGCTCTTATTTTGTGGCAGAAGGTTCGGTGCTGTTATCATGATATTCCATCTAAGCACCAGTTTTCTACGTCAATTACCTTGATGTGCTTCCAGCCTGCATCCTGCCATCTTATTAAGGAGCTTGTACTCACATGCCGAAAATACATTGCTGCCAGCTTCTTCGTAGTTTAAACTCTTACGACATATTCCCACTGGAAAGGAGGAGTGAAATGAGACTAAACTAGGTGTGGACTCATTTGGTGGATCTAGGCAGCAAGTTTGGTTCCATTGATGGTTGAGACGGATGATTTTGGAAGCACCCTTTCCTCTTGTATACACGGCATGGGCGCTTTCCCATTAGAGATCGTATCCGGGATCAAAGGAATGCCTTACACTCTTGAGCTTTCATTCATGGGTTAAGAGATCGCTGGGGCCCAACCCACCGCCTACTATATTCCATTCTCCGCTTCTTGATGCTTCTGTCAGAGGCACATAGCGACTCCACCAACCTCTACTTCGTAATGCCAAAAAAGAGGAAGCTGGAAAGGAAATATTGTCAGAAATTTGTTTATGGTCTTTTGACTGGAGCAGAAAAGACATACGCCCCGAATAGGCAAGAATTATTTTAATAACCCACACATTGTCAACTACTCTCCTAAGAATCTTATAGCCCAAAACTGGAAAAAAAAAGCCAGTTTTCAAAAATTCAGAATCATTTAAGCTCAAGTATGCGCCCTTTACTGCCATGTAATATGTTACATTTTGGCTTGCTTACCAGCGAAATCATGCATCCGAATTAATAGCTGATTACGCCACCCCCTCCTAAAACCATCAACTTCAACTTTTGAACATCCATGCGGTTCTGAATAATACCAAGAAGCTTTTCCAAACTTCATAAGCACGGTTTCCCATAGAAGGAGCTCTACAACAAACTTCAAGTGCTTGATATCATTTGTAGCAGGGTGCCCTGAAGTTCGGCCACACTAATTATGGGATGATAAATCATGAACACTACCTTCCATCCTAAGACTAATAATTGTCAAGGTGGTCTGAGGAACTTGCAGATCTTATGAGGAGACTTTGAATATTTAACTACTCATCAATGTGTAACAGATCCTCTGAATGTTTATCTAACTCTCTTCATCAAGCAGTATCCATTAAATATCAGAAACATATCCAGCGTCCTTGATGGAGCACAGCAAAGAACTTAAAATTGCATAAATCAAATCCGTCTTAGGATGCGATTGATCTCTGGCAGTGAAAACATGAGCTTGATCTCTTGTAACAATCCAACTAATTCCTGGAGGTTTTCTTAGACCTTTCTCTTTCAGCCATGCCCTTATAAGCCTGACCTCTGACCAACGATCTGCGGCAGCATAGATATTTGAGAGTAAAACATAATTTCCCTCATTCATAGGCTCCAATTCAACGATTTTCTCAAAGACAAGCTTGACAAGCTTGGTATTAGAATGGACTTGACAAGCACTGAGCAGAGCTCTCCACACTGAAGCATCAGCTTCAACAGGCATTGAATTGATAAATTTTAGAGCTTCATCTAAGAAGCCACCACGCCCAAGAAGATCAACCATACAACCATAGTGAATAAGTTCAGGGTTCACCTTAAACTTGCAAAACATTGAATTGAAAAGCAGCAAACCCTCCTCTATCAATCCAGAATGGCTGCAAGCAGATAAAATAGATACGAAAGTTGCACTGTTTGGTTTCATACCATCTTCCAGCATCTGTAGAAAGGTAGATATAGCGCCTTCTCCCTGGCCATGCATTCCATAGCCAGTTATCAAAGCATTCCATGAGATGACATTCCTTCGCCAAATCAAGTTGAATACTTTCTCACCATTGTGCAGACTGCCACATTTTGCATACATAGTTATCAGAGCATTTGCAAGAGATGCATCAGAACCAATAGATGATTCCCTCCTGGTTATGTAAGCATGAATGCACTGGCCTAGGTGAAGATCAGCTAGTTGGATACACGATGATAGAACATTTATAAGCGTGACCGAGTTAGGTTCAACTTCCGAGATCATACGTCTAAAGAGCAGCAGAGCCTTGTGAGTCTGGTTGTTTCTAATGTAACTGGCAATCAAAGAATTCCATGAGACTATGTCTCTGTTGGAGCAGCAGGCAAATAAATTCTCCGCTGTCACTTCATCACCACAGTTCATGTACATCTCTGTCAGTGCAGTGTTCAAGGGTATGTTAATATCAATGCCATGTTTGATTACATAGCTATGGATAGATCGGCCAATGTTGAGTGAAGGTGCGTCATCACAGGAAGAAAGAATTGATATAATTGTATACGAGTTGGGTTTGATTTCGGACTCATGCATCCTTAGAAAGACTTCCAATGCTTCAACTTTGGAGTTGCTATTGGCCAATGCCGCAATTAAAGTGTTCCAAGATATTACATCAACGTCTGGTAGTTGAGTGAAAGCCTTCTTAACAGCTTCGATACAATTGGTCTCTTCGTACATATTCAAAAGTGCATTACCGAGAGAAACATCCATAAGCATACCCGCTTTAATTACATGTGCATGTAAACTTCTACCGAATCTCATCCCATCTGCTAAGTCTGCACATGAAGACAACATGACGATAATAGTTCTTTCATCTGTCTTGACATCCTCTGCTATCATTCTCGAGAACATCCTCTGAGCTTCTTCAGGACAGCAGAAATCAATGTACGTTGACAGCATTGAATTCCACAGCGCAACATCACAGGTACGAACAGATTTAAATATTTCATATGCAAACTCTGGTTTCTGTAGCTTACTATACATATGGAGCAAGGCATTTGCTGAGTAGACATCACAACTTAGATCGGACTTAATAGCCATTTGGTGAATTTGCATTGCCAGACCAAGAGATCCATGCTCTGTGCAGGCCTGAATCACAATCAACATGGTGACCTCATCAAGTTCGCCCCCATCCTCTAGAATCCTCACAAAAAGCTCCAAAACCATTAAGCAGTCACCAGCTTCAAAATAACCCGTGATTATTGCATTCCAACTAACCATGTTCTTCACCTCCATCATATCAAACACATTGTGCAAAACCTTTAAGTTAAACTTTGCATAAAAACCTATTAAAGCAGTTCCAACATGAGGGTACTCATGAAATAGCCCACTCCTCAAAGAATAACAATGTATTTCCTGCCCCATCCTCAACTCCATCGCCGGCCCACAGGCCAAAAGTAACGCCACAATAGTACGAGAGCTTGGTCTCACACTCTGCCTCCCCATTTGCACGAACACCGAAATCGCCTCCTCATGATCACCCACGCCCACATACCCGTTTATCATCGCGTTCCACGAAACAACATCTCGCTCGGCCATTCCATCGAACACATACCGAGCATCACCCACGAGCCCGCACTTGCCGTAAAAATCGACGAGAGCAGTAGCCACCCGCACATCCTCCATCAAACCCGTACCCAGAACGCTCGAATGGATCCTCTTGCCGAGTTCCACAGCGTTCAGCCTCGAGCAGGCCTTGAGCACCAGAGGCAGCGTGGCCCTGTCGGGGGACGCGCGTGAGGACAGCATGCGGGCATAGGCCGAGAGGATCGCGCCGTCGTTCTTGAGCTTGGCGTGGCGCTTGATGAGCGCGTTCCAATCCTTCGGGTCATTGCTCGGTGGGTTGGGTTGCGCAGGTGGAGGTGGAGGTAAAGGCGGGAGCTTGAGATAGCTAGAGCTCAGCGACATCTCCGTTCGAAAGGCGCGCGCGCGTGTCTCCGCGTCACGGCAGCGACCGTTAATGCGGTTGTGTATTCTCCAAGTTTGGGGGATGCTGGTTGGGCCCGACCGAGCTTGGGCTGGCCTATCGGGCTTTGAGGCCCATTGCATTGTTGGGCTATATTGGGCCCATACGAACACAAAACATAAAGTTAGTTTAAATTTTAGTTGAACCCTAAACATCAGAGTCGCTTTGGCCGAGTGGTTAAGGCGTGTGCCTGCTAAGTACATGGGGTTTCCCCGCGAGAGTTCGAATCTCTCAGGCGACGCAACTCTTATTCCCTCTTTTTCCGCTTTTCTCTTTTTGATTTTTCACGAGCCACGGCTTTTACTTGCGTCGAAATACACAAATTTTCTTTCTTTTTCCTTTTTTGGATAAATGCACTCGAAATCCTTAAACTTATCATAAAAGTGCAATTTGATTATATTTTTTGACAATTTTAAGATTCGATTACATTTTCGTGTCACGTTTTAGGATTTTCGATATACTTTTTTCTTTTTCTAAACGGGGCCCGTGATAATTTTTGTTGATCACTGTTTAGTGAGTGTAAATCTTGAGTAGGGTGGGGGGCGGAGATCTCTCAGACATCATGGCTTATGAGAACTCTGCATCTGTCAAAATGAGGTAAAAAAAGAAAAGTCAAACTAACCCATCATGCCATCTAATGCTCCAAGACAAAGCTGAAGTTCGTTTGCATGTCCCTTTCCCTCCCTCGGATTGGCCATTCCTTCTTGGCTAACGTCTTACGCCAATCCCCCTTCTCTTCTAGATGTCAATAATATAAACCTATGATCATCCCGAGTTTTTTCCGAGCTCGAATATGCTACATTGGCTGTAGATTTAGAGATAATTGAATGATGATGTGACGTGCGAGCGCGCTTCGATTTTGCTAGAATTAGAACCTCTTCGGTCCGATTTATCTTTTGTCTAGAGTTGCAGAGCCTTGAGGTTGAACAGAAAGCTTCGGTAACGAAATCTCTGCTTGATAAGGATGGCATGGGTTGCTTACTTACCTTATCAGTTAAATGGCAAATGGATGGATAAGCGAGAGGTTTAGGTAAAAAAGCTCCCTCGACGTTGGCATCAAGCCCTTAGAAATCACGTACGTGACTTGTCCGTCAAGTTTTCTTCCGTGGCTCAACGGATAAGCTCGACTTTATTAGCGGCGTCTAAATTTTGTAGACCGACACCGATGCTCGCCTCGACGATCCCTTTGCGTTTCCAAGAAGTGCAGCGAGTGGCATCTCTTTTCGTACAAGGGTCTTTCAAATCAACGTTGAAAAATTTTACCGGCGGCTTTGCCGGTACGAGTTAAAACGTCCTTGTCTGCATGAACCATGCACTAAACAGGAATGTGCTGGGAAATCGTCATATTGAGGTCATATATTCGCAAAGACTGCCTGTATCAGCTGCCCTTTATTCAACACAGGTGGCCTTAGGTGTCTATTCTTCCTCGATGCAGTGATTATGAGAGCCATAATTACGATTAGAAGTTAACCATCGAGGATAAAGAACGGATCAAATATAATACTAAGATAATATCTGCAAGAAATGAGAGCAAAGCTGACTAAGTATGCTTAAGTGTCCATTTTTCTCCCAATTGGACTGCACAACTAACTGATTTAACTCCATTATCAAGCATACTCATCTTCCTATGAAGTCTAGAGAGAGAGAGAGAGAGAGAGAGAGAGAGAGAGAGAGAGAGAGAGAGAGAGAGAGAGAGAGAGAGAGAGAGAGAGAGAGAGAGAGAGAGAGAGAGAGAGAGAGAGAGAGATTTTCACTTTAAATCAGATAACTCTCCACTAATAACAACTTCCACCCCCCAACTTTCGATTTGTACATCACATGATGATCACAAATTTGCAAAACCTACCAACTTGATGTTTCCCTCTACTTTTATTCGCATGTATACATCGACCATTATTCCGGAACTTGACATGATCGCTATGAGACAAAAGCGACCACAGCAAACTACTTACAAGCAAGAGTGTATCAAACAACCCGGGAATGCCTTTCGCACCATCTACCTTCCAGATCCAAGTGCCAAAGCTCACTTTTATGGGGGGAAAAAGGGATATACACTATAAACTACCATGGTGTTGTGGCCCGGTCGTCGCAAAATTAAGCGAAAACAAGAGAGAAAGCTGGGGAATTTATTTTTGTGGTGGAATATGTGACAATAGCAGACGGGTTTCCTAAGTTCATGAAAGTATATATTCTAGGGTTCTTGCTCTTTTCTTAATCCAAAGGGAAAACGGTTTGACTATTCAGAGTGGGGGACAGAGAAACAAAGAAAAAAAATTGCTGATGATTTTGGGAGAGAGCTATCACCACCTATTGAATAACCTGGAAATCAGCAGAAGAAAATGAAGAAACATCTTTCATCAACTCCTCCAAGTCCCATTCACCCACTTTCATCTCCTCTCCTCCATTCCACCCTAAACCAGCCATGCTTTCTATTCTGCCATAGTTGTTAAAGTTGCCTATGTTATCAACGACATCATCATTGGTATAGTTGAAGTTGTTAAGGTTGTTGCTACTATTGTGTTCACTATCGTATGTGTTCTCAGTTTTCACGTTTTCTTCAATACTTATGCTCTCTAGCGGAGGAACATAGAACTGATCTCCATTAATCCCACAACCAACAGCACCTCCGAATCTCCCGAATTCACCGCTAACTCCGCCTTGCACAGTGCAGCAATTAGGGTTCGAATCACAGTATCCACTTAAACCGGGGAGGTCAAGGCCTTGGTTGAGCGAGGGTAATAACGGATCGATAATCTGGTTGAGAGCCAAAGCTTGCACGGATGACAATGAGTCCACATAAAGTGGCATGAGTCCTTGTTCCTGAAGGGAGATGAGACCTCCCATGACATCTTTAGGGTCTGATGATAAGGAGGAATCACTCGTGTTTGGTGAGTGTCTAGAAGAAGATGATGAAGAGTTCTTGAGCCTCTTCTTTATGGTCGAGTTCCAAAAGTTCTTTATTTCGTTGTCGGTCCGTCCGGGCAACCGAGCAGCGATTTGCGACCACCTTTGAAGAAGAAGAAAAAGAAGAAGAAGAAGGCATAAGGCAATATAAGACTCATTGTCTGCTGATATAAAAGTTAGGGTAGATAAATCTAGTTGCTCGCGTGACTTCCAAGAACATGCATGATAATTATGCAAGGCATTGAATAATGCTCGGTGTGATAATCCTGATGTGGAGTACCTTCAACTCAAAGGCCAGAAAATGGCACCAGAGCATGCCGTTGTCCTTTTCAGCTTTTAGTCCTTTGGTTAGGTATATTATAATACAGGAGCATCAACAACCCAGCTAGACTTCATTAGCCTTGTATTTCTATATACTATACAGTACGCTTTTTTTTATGCAAATGCCTCGTGCATTTGACTGGATGCATGGTACCTCATGGAGACTTACTTCAGAATAATGTCCTGGCGCAATTTATTTTCTAAGTACAACCAAAGTCCAGCGAAGCAGCATGTAATACAAACATATAATTAGTTAGAGACTTATTATTCTCTATTCTAAAGTCCTTTTAACCCCTGTAGATTGCAGAGAGGTTGCTCTCGTGTCTTTAGCACGTATGCATGCAAGATTTGTTTTATCATTTTCATGTCAATTGTTCGTAGGACTTGACTTCATAGGTTGCTCGGACTTTGCCCTGCATATTGCTACACTTCTCGTGTCATTTTTTATCTTAGAGAGTATCATACTTTAGCAGGATATACACCTCTAATCAGTGACGTCCTGTTAATTTTTTGAATCCATTAAAAGGAAGATGGGATGTGATAAAATGACTATCATTACGTACACATTACAGATTTATCTCCGTTTACCACTGCACAAGAAAAAATGTTATGGTACTATAAATGAGAAAATATGTTATATATGTGTTGATGATATAACGAGTGGTTGATTGTGTCTAGCAAATCACTTAAATATCCACACATCTTACCTTAAAAAACACGACTTAGCTTTTTGCTAATTAAGTAAATTATCAATCAACCGGCTTCCTTTTTTCCAGATATGTGTTTTTCAAACTTTGCTCCACAACATTATAGATTGATGTGAACGCTAGAGAGTGACCAAATCGGAACATTTGTCTATCGATTCTATCCATTGACGATGGGCATCGAAAGATCGGTTATTCGCCTTCAATAATTACATGAACAAGAATTTCCTCTTGATCAGACACGAAGGAGAATATGCACTGTACGCAAAATTACCAAAAACGTAGAGAGAGAGAGAGAGAGAGAGAGAGAGAGAGAGAGAGAGAGAGAGAGAGAGAGAGAGAGAGAGAACCTGTTGCCAAGGATGGAATGCAAGTGGATGATGAGCTCTTCCTCTTGGGGGGAGAAAGCGCCTCTCTTGAGGTCAGGCCGCAAGTAATTGATCCACCGGAGGCGGCAACTCTTGCCGCACCGCTGCAGCCCAGCGTTGCGGGCCACGTCGCTCCAGCAGCCCTGCCCATTATTGAGCATGTAGCTCATCAATTTGTCGTCTTCTTCAGGTGACCAGAGTCCTTTTCTCAGCTTGTTAGTGTTGCTGTTAGAGCTGCTGTTCCCATAGGAATCAGGCTTCCTCATTTTGACAGATACAAGATAAAAAAAAAAAACAAAGGGGTGGTGGTAACTTGCTCACTCTCTCTCTCTCCCAACCTGGATCAAGATTGACGGTCGTTTTATAAGGATAGAAAATGAAAAGAAAGGTAGTGAAAGGCTGTAAGGGTTCATGATCATCATGATGGTGATGGTGGTGGGCTTTGCTTGAAATATAGGGAAGAGAGAGAGAGAGAGAAGAGTTGGTTGATGGGTCTGAGTAGACAACGGTTTAGAGAGGGACCTGTGAGAGAGAGAGGGAGAGAGAGAGAGAGAGAGAGAGTGAGTGAGAGAGAGGGTGGTCGTCTTGTCCTTGAATCCATACACACCTTTTGCCTTTTTCCTTCCTTTCTTTCTCTCTCTAGCTCTTAATGCATTTTCTTCAATCTCAAGGGAATAATCATTTGTGCATCGTGGAGAGGAGAGAGGGAGCGAAACCATCCAAAACAAAAGAAACACACCCGTTTGTTTTCTAAACAAGCCAACATTTCTTGCTTCCACTTCACATAATCTCTCTCTCTCTCTCTCTCTCTCTCTCTCTCTCTCTCTCTCTCTCTCTCTCTCTCTCTCTCTCTCTCTCTCTCTCATACACACGTGTGCTTTAAGATAGAGCAGGATCAATGAGAAAAGAGTTCGAAACATGACTATTTCACGTGTTCATTTGGATACTCGATGTATGTGATAGCAAAGGGATTAAACAATCATGAACAGGTACTTCTAGACTGTTACTGGTATGTACGTCCTAGCCATATGTGATACGATGCATTCGGTGGTGAGCTTATTACTTGGCATCTCTTCGATGAGATCGAGTTTACGGAAAAATCAGGATGATCTACCACGACATGCCCTGTAAGGAACACAAGGCTTTGAAGAGAAAAAACGGAGAAAAGGACAAGAATTTTTTACGTGGAAAACCATTTCAAAATTAGAAAGGGAAAACCATGATGCCGCAATAGGTAATCTTTTCACTGTCAGTGTTAGTATTGAAGTTTCAAGTTTCAGGGTTACAACTACAAAATGTATTGCCTCAATATAAAGTAGGAGTTTAGGCCATTTATGATGGAAATTACACGTATGTCATTAACAACAGTAAAAAGCTCAATTCTCTACTTTAACATGAAAATTACATATTGCCATTAGTAGTAAAAGTTATGAGCTTTAATATAGCTTTTCTCTATCAAACTCCATAACTACATCAATCTGCCTCTCGGAGGCCGATTCTCAAAACAACAATAGTCTTTCATAGTTTTCACTCGTTTTTGTAACCCAGCTTGTCCTAATGCGGCAACCCCTCATCACTAACCATGGAGGCCAACTGAGGCAATGCACAGCCTTAATTTCTCATGGTGACAACCTTTGTTCAAAATATCAATTGGATTTTTGGCACCAAGAATTCTCTTTAGTAACAATGTCTCATCATTTATTAGTTGATGAATATGATGACATTTAAACTCAATATGCTTTGTCCTTGATTGAAATACCAAACTCTTTTCAAGACAAATAGCACTCTGATTGTTACTTAAAAAAACACTACTATCCTACTCCTTGCTTATATTTTTCAACCAAATCACCTCCCGGCCAGTTTTAGTTATAGCAAAATACTATGCTTAAGTAGTTGAGAGAAAAAAACACTTCTGAAGTTTAGACACCTAACTGATTACAGTGCCACCTAAGGTAAAAATATAACTCGAGGTACTCTTCTTATTGTCCAAGTCACTACCAGGATCTGTATCAACAAAGTCTTATAAAGCTACATTGTTTTTATAAACATAGCGACATCAACTGCCAATAGCTAACGCATAAGGTACCTTAACCATACCATCCCGCTCTTCATTTGTCTTTGTCGATTACTTCTTCGAGAGCTTGAAGTGACTTCCTAAAGGACTAGGCTTTACATTCTGAACTTTGAATATGTTCAGCACATTTTCAATGTACTTTTCTTGAGATTATTTTAGAATTCCTTCAAATCTATTTCACATGATCCTCATCTCAAGAATGTGATTTGTTGCTCCCAAATCCTTCATCTCATACTTTTTTGATGATTGCTGCTTCAGTATGTTGATCTACCTTATGCTAGATCCGACAATAAGCATATCATCCACATGTAACAGCAAAATATATAGCAATAATCAAATTTATTGAAGTAATAGTTGTATTTCACCTCTAACGAACCTATTACCGCACAAAATGTGTCAAATTTCTTGTACCACTGTCTAGGAGCTTGTATCAAGCCATAAGACTTTTATTCAGCTTGCAAACATAATTCGTTTCTAGGAACCTAAAAACTTTCTGATGGTACTATGTAGATATCCTCCTCCAAATTACCATAGAGGAATGCAGTCTTTAGATCTAATTGCTCTAGATGTAAATTATCAACAACAACAATACTCAACACTAGCCTAATAGTAGTCAACTTTACAACTGGAGAGAAAATCTTTGTGTAGTCAATTCATTTCTTTTGCTGAAAACCTATCTCTATTAACATTGCTTTGTACCTCTTGTTGCCATCGGGTTTTTTTTTTTTTTTGACCCGATACACCCACTTGTTCTACAATACCTTCTTCCTATCTGGTAATCGAGTTGATACCCACTCGAGTGAATCCAACTCATTTCACATTGTTAACTCCCACTTAACAGAATCTTTTCATCCACTACTTTCGAAAAATTTTCTGATTTGCCAGTGTCAGACAAAAGCAAATAATGGGCAAAAGAACACTACAAGTGCCATAACTTGTGTACGGCGCTCACTTTGGTGCTATAAGTTTTTTTTGGATCACTTTAGTGCTAAAATTTTTGAAAAACAATCACTTAAGTGCCAACTCCGGTGCCGTACACAATTTTTCGCCGGAAATCCGACGTGGCATTTTTTTTTATTAATTTCTGAAGCTGACGTGGCTCGCCGGAGATTGGCACTTAAGTGATCGTTTTTCAAAAATTTTAGTACTTAAATGATCGTTTTTAAAAAATTTTAGCACTTAAGTGAACGTTTTTCAAAAATTTTAGCACTGAAGTCATCCAAAAAAAACTTATGACACTTAAGTGATCGTTTTTCCTCCGACTTGGCACCAAAGTGATCCGAAAAAAAGTTATGGCACCAAAGCAATCTCCGTATACAAGTTATGGCACTTATAGTGTCCTTTTGCCGCAAATAATGTAATGACAAAGAATACCACTGTATAGATTTAGATGTTCTACTAGATCTTCTTAAAGTGGGATCATGTGTATGTGATTCTTGTTCTGATTTTTTATCAGAATCTACAATAACAGTTTTACGATTTCTAACCAAAACATTCTTGAAAACCCTGAATTCAATCTCTAGTCTCCACCATTTATTTCTTCACACTAGATTCTACTACAGATCTATTCTTGTACAACATGTTTTCATTGAAGGTAAAATCATCAGTTTTTATTATTTTTCTATTGTGTTCATCCTAGAACTGATAGCCAAAATAATCAGAGCCATATCCAATGAAAAAATATTTTTAACCTTTGCATCAAGCTTATTTCTTTTTTCAGAATCTATGTGACAAATGAAACACAACCAAAAACTGTCAGTTGCAATAGATTCACCTTCTTTCCATTCCATTCTTTTTTTTTTGGTAGGTTAAAATCAAGTATAACCGAAGGTCCTTCGTTGATCAGGTATGCTATTGTGTTAATTGGATTTGTCCAAAACGTCTTAGGTAATCCTGCATGCATCCTCATACTTGCATGCTCATTTAGAGTTCTGTTCATTCTCTCAGTAAGTCTGTCTTGCTGCGGACTGTTGGGAACAGTTCTTGTCATCTTGATTCTATTCTCTGCACAAAATCGCTTAAACTCCTTGTTATCATACTCATCACCATTATCAAACCTTAGACATTTAATTTTCAGGCCAGTCTTATTCTCCATTTTAGCTTTCCATCTCTTAAAATTAGTAAACATATCAGATTTATTTTTCGAAAAATAAACCCATACCTTCCTAGTGGAGTCGTCAATGAACGTGACATAGTATCGTGAGCCTCCAAGGAAATGCATAGGGGCTGGCCCTCACACATATGTATGCACCAACTCTAATTTTCCTTTCTTTGGTTCTCTCCCAATCTTCAAAAAATGGACACGTTTCTACTTGCCTAGAACGCAATATTCACAAAAACCAATATCTATGGGCTTCTGGTCATGTAGTTTTCTCTTTGATGCTAATATGTTCATTCTCTTTTTGCTCACGTGTCTAAGCCTACAGTGCCACAATTTGGAATCAGCTTCCGACTCAACAATTGCTACTGTTTCTCAACTGCTCTTAGTCATGTATAGTGTTCTTGACTTTGTTCCCCATTTTACAACCAAAGCACCGTTAACTATTTTCCAAGAGCTATCCCAAAAAATAGTTCTGTATCATGTACTGTCTAATCGACTTATAGAGATCATATTTCTTGTAAGTCCTAAAACATATCTAACATCATACAACTTCCATTGATACCCATTAGTAGTTTTTATGTGAACATCACTCTTTCCCATAATATCCAAAGGTTTATCATCAGCAAGATAAACCTTTCCAAAACTTTTTGATCAACAAAATTGTGCATTAATTCTTTGCAAGAAGTAGAGTGAAACAATGCACATGAGTCTAGAATCTAAGATGTAATCGGACTGGCAATACTCAAATTTAAAGCATCATTGTCAAGCATCTCTTCAAGAATTTCATTCACAGATTTCTCTTCCTCTTGGATTTGATCTTGATATTGAATTTTCCTCTTTGGAGCTCTATAATCTCATCTCAGATGGCCTTTCTTTTCACAACTCCAGCAAATTATTTCACCACAAGGTCTTGATTTGCTTCTCCCTTTAGACTTCGATCTACCACGGTATTGGTTCTGCCCTTGTCGATTGCTTCTCCCTCTACCTTCGGTACTAAGGAAGCACCCGAAAATTCACCTGACTCTCTTCTACGAATATGCTTGCTAAGAATCAAATCTCAAATTTCTTGAAGCTTCAACTTTTTCTGACGAGACAAACTGTGGTAATCATAGTTGCACTCCAACTTTCAGGTAGAGAAGATAACAAAATTAAAGCTTTTACCTCGTCATCGAATT